TGTTTTTCTTCTGATGGAAATACATTAGCATCTGGTAGTGATGATAACTCTATCCGTCTATGGGATGTTAAAACAGGATAATAAAAAGCCAAATTGAATGGTCATAAAAGTTCTGTCAACTCAATCTGTTTCTCTCCTGATGGAACTACTTTAGCATCTGGTAGTGGAAATCTTTATGATGATAGTGATAACTCTATCCGTCTATGGGATGTTAAAACAGGATAATAAAAAGCAAAATTGAATGGTCATACTAACACTGTCAAATCAGTATGTTTCTCCCCTGATGGAAATACATTAGCATCTGGGAGTACTGATTACTCTATCCGTCTATGGGATGTAAAGACAGGATAATAAAAAGTCTATTTATATTTACATGTTGATTGTGCCAATTCAGTCTGTTTCTCACCTGATGGAAATACATTAGCATCTGGTAGTAGTGATAAATCTATACTTCTATTTGATGTAAACACTAGATAATATAAAGCCAAGCTGTCTGGTCATATTAGCATTGTCTAATCAGTCTGTTTCTCTCCTGATGGAAATACATTAGCATCTTGTAGCAGTAATAAATCGATACGTCTATGGGATGTTAAAACAGGATAATAAAAAGCCAAATTTGATGGTCATACTAAGATTGTCAACTCAGTCTGTTTCTCACCTGATGGAAATACATTAGCATCTGGGAGTGATGATTACTCTATCCGTCTATGGAATGTCAAAACAGGATAATAAAAAGCCAGATTATATCGTCATGATGATTGTGTCAACTCAGTCTGTTTTTCACCTGATGGAAATTCATTAGCTTCTGGTGGTTATGATTACTCTATCCGTCTATGGGATGTAAAGACAGGATAATAAAAAGTCTAATTAGATGGTCATGATAAAACTGTCAACTCAGTCTGTTTCTCACCTGATGGAAATTCATTAGCTTCTGGTAGTTATGATTACTCTATCCGTCTATGGAATGTAAAGACAGGATAATAAAAAGTCTAATTAGATGGTCATACTAGTTATGTCTAGTCAGTCTATTTCTCATCTGATGGAAATACATTAGCTTCTGGTAGTGATGATAAGTCTATCCGTCTATGGGATGTAAAAAGTGGAAAATAAAAAGCAAAATTAGATGGTCATGATGATTGTGTCAACTCAGTCTGTTTCTCACCTGATGGGACGACATTAGCCTCTGGTAGTTTTGATTACTCTATTCGTCTATGGGATGTAAAGACAGGATAATAAAAAGCATAATTAGATGGTCATACTCATGATGTTAATTCACTCTGTTTCTCACCTGATGGAAATACATTAGCATCTGGGAGTGATGATAATTCTATCCGTCTATGGGATGTTTAAACAGGATAATAAAAAACCTAATTAGATGGTCATGATGATTGTGTCAACTCAGTCTGTTTCTCTCCTGATGGAAATGCATTAGCATCTGGTAGTGATGATAAATCTATCCGTCTATGGGATCTTTCAACAGGATAATAAAAAATCTAATTAGATGGTCATGATGATTGTGTCAACACAGTCTGTTTCTCACCTGATGGAAATACATTAGTTTCTGGTGGTGGTAATCCATTTGGAGGTGGTGATTAGTCTATTCGTCTATGGGATTTTAAGACAGGATAATCAAAAGCCAAATTAGATGGTCATACTAGTGGAATCTTATCAGTCTGTTTCTCACCTGATGGAAATATATTAGCTACTGGTAGTTGGGATTACTCTATCCGTTTATGGGATGTCAAAACAGGATAATAAAAAGCCAAATTGGATGGTCATACTAGTGCAATCATGTCAGTCTGTTTCTCCCCTGACGGTAATTCATTAGCATCTGGTAGTGATGATAAGTCTATCCGTCTATGGGATGTCAAAAAACGATAATAAAAAACCAAAGTGGATGGTCTTAGTGATATTGTTAGATCAGTCTGTTTCTCTCCTGACGGAAATACATTAGCATCTTTTGGTAGCAATATATTTGGAGGTGGTGATTAGTCTATCCGTCTTTGGGATGTTAAGACAGGATAATCAAAAGCCAAATTAGATGGTCATACTAGTGGAATCTTATCAGTCTGTTTCTCACCTGATGGAAATATATTAGCTACTGGTAGTTGGGATTACTCTATCCGTTTATGGGATGTCAAAACAGGATAATAAAAAGCCAAATTGGATGGTCATACTAGTGCAATCATGTCAGTCTGTTTCTCCCCTGACGGTAATTCATTAGCATCTGGTAGTGATGATAAGTCTATCCGTCTATGGGATGTCAAAAAACGATAATAAAAAACCAAAGTGGATGGTCTTAGTGATATTGTTAGATCAGTCTGTTTCTCTCCTGACGGAAATACATTAGCATCTTTTGGTAGCAATATATTTGGAGGTGGTGATTAGTCTATCCGTCTTTGGGATGTTAAGACAGGATAATCAAAAGCCAAATTAGATGGTCATACTAGTGGAATCTTATCAGTCTGTTTCTCACCTGATGGAAATATATTAGCTACTGGTAGTTGGGATTACTCTATCCGTTTATGGGATGTCAAAACAGGATAATAAAAAGCCAAATTGGATGGTCATACTAGTGCAATCATGTCAGTCTGTTTCTCCCCTGACGGTAATACATTAGCATCTAGTAGTGATGATAAGTCTATCTGTATATGGGATGTAAAGACAGGATAAGAAATTAAATCCTCCGATAAAAATTAGAAAGATTTTTTAATATAATTTAAGATTCCACTCCAATAAAATAGTTTTATTTTAGCAGGTAGTATTTATATTTTTCATTTTTTAAGGCCCCCATTACATTAATACTCTCCATATATCCCAGCAGGCTATATTTCAAGTTGAAGGAGCTTTAGTTCTGAAAGGAGAATTTATTAATCAATCAGGTATTGATTTAAAAACATTATTTAAACAAAAAGGAAGTTACTTTTTGGAAAACTTATAGTAAAAGTGAATTTGATTATTTTCAACAACAATAACAATATAATTATAATCAATTCCTAATATTTTTATATTTGTCTTTATCAGTTCCACTCTTCATTTTCATATCAAAACACATGTTATTCCAAAGTTTTATAAAATTTAATTAAATTATTATTATTATTTAAATGTATATGATGGCTCATTTATAGTAATCTACTTTCCTCTTCTTAGAATTACTAATGGCTTTATCCTTTTCCCTCCTTTTTTTTCCTTTTCTTTACTTCCTCTTTCGCTTGTGCCATTTTGCATTTCCGTCCTCTACTCTCAAAGGTTCTTCGTAGCATAGCAAGTTCAATGTTGTGAAATCCATAAGATTTGCTTATGTAATTTCATTGTCATCAATAACAGCCTTCACTCTCTAAAAGTTGTCATAGATTCCCTCCAGTTAGTTCATGTCTAAATATTTATTCATTTATTCGAAACTGTAATCACGTTGTAATTAACTTATTTAAGATAGTCCTTTATGACCGGAAGTTGTGTTATAGATTTGTTAATTTTTAGATATTACAATTTATTTATAGCTACGCTTATTAAATTCAGATATGAACTTTATAGTGAAATTGATAAGTAAATAGAAAATAAATGAAATCAGGTTTTGTTTAATAAATTTATAAGAAGATAATTAAAAAATACTTTAATGCATGAATCTAATAGAGTAAGATAAATAAAAATTAAGATAATATTGGACAAATATTTTTAATAAGATTCATTTTATTGAAATAAAAGCATTATCAACAGAGATTATCAAATATTTTGTTTTTTTGTTGAATCCAATTGATTAATTGAGAAAGATAATTATTCTTATTGGGTATAGTATAAATAATTGGTATCGAATCTAAATATATTAATAAAAAGAATATTTGAATTTGAACCTGAAAGAATCCCTAAAATAAAACTGGGGAATTTGTAATAGATATATGAATTTAATTAAAAATATACTCGTATTAAATTGGATGGTATTGAATTTATGTATTAATATATTGGATCAATAATTGA